CTTCACCTCAGCCTTTCAAGTAGCCAGAACTATAAGCGTGCGCTACCGCACCTGGCTAATTTTTTATTTTATTTTATTTTATTGTAGAGACAGGGTTCTCACCAAGTTGCCTGGGCTGGTCTTGAACCTGCAGGCTCAGACAATCCACTAGCCTCGGACTCCCAAAGTGCTGGGGTTACAGGTTGAGCAAGCGAGCCTGGCCCAGATAACACTATTAAGGGGGGGAAAATGTCCTTTGCTCTGGTTAGAATTGTATATGAGGCAGTTCTGAATATCCATATTCAAGTAGTATCTGAATATACATACTATCGGAATATACATATTCAAATAGTCCCTTGCCCAGCACATAGTAGGTGAATAAATGTTAATGAATGCAAAAAATAAATGGATGAATCAATCATTCCCTCACTTCATCCAGATTTTTGAACCCTGGGTCAAATGGTTCTCTATTTAAGACTTTATAGCTCTAAAAATTTACATGATGCTAAAAGTTTCTTTTATTTCTGTCACCTTTCAAATTTAGAGCATAGCCTTGAATTCTGTGGCTGAAGATTAGAATCTGATGGAACAAAAACAGTTTAACACATTTTGTACAATTTTCACCATGAATAGGGAAATCGAAGTTCACATATACATGAAACAACCTAAGAATGGAAGCTCCTTCCTAACAACTCATTTTGAAGAATGTTAAATGTTTAATGTGCGTTTCAAGTTCCTTTGCCATTCACTGCAAGTGAACTTGAGCAATAGCACTGAAATGGTTTAGGTTTGACCTTGAGGAGGGCGAGCTATCAGGACAAGTATAATCCCACTGTCTGCTGTCTGAAAGGTTTAGTAAATTGTCAGACAGATGAATTAATACAGTGGAATGTGCTGTGATGTTGGTAATCAGAGGAGAATGTGTTTTGGTTGCCTCTTCTTTACCCTGCTAGTGAGGGAGGGTTAAGGGGATGGCCCCATCAACACTGGACGCTGGACAGATGAGATTGACAGTGGTTTATGAGTCACATATATTCACAGCCCAGGGAAGGAGGACACTGCATGCCCCGCAGGGCCCCATGGGGGTTGCACTTGAGAATGGAGAGAACAACCCAAGTCTGTGTCAGGCAGGCGACTTACAGACAGTGTCAGGCGTGGAGCACTCACTGAAATAAACTACTTACCAAGTAATTTTTAGGAATGTAACCAACGTGGCAGGCCTTCTACTATGGGTGGACAGTAACCCATCCTATTCTGTGATCATTCTTGCGAGTGCCCTATTTGTATGACCTGGACAAGTATGTCAAATGATTGTCCTCAGAGGAGGATATCGTCCATGTAATATCATCCTATGGTCCTGAGAAAGTTGGGTGCAGTTAAGATCTTGACTGCAAGGCTAGGTGCAGTGGCTCACGCCTATGATCCCAGCACTTTGGGAAGCCAAGGCAGGAAGATTGCTTGAGCCAGGAGTTCGAGACCAGCTATATATATATATATATGTTGGCTGCAAAGCTTGTATGCGATTGTGTGCAATGATATGCTGTTGGAGTGCCCCATGGGTGCCTCGTCAAGATGTGTTATGACCCTTTGGGGTTGAAGACAAATGTCAACTGAGAGACTGTTGAGATAGGCACTGAACAGAACATAGTAGTCAAATTGATGAAAGCAAAATATTGACTAGTCACTTACCGGACGGGGTCAGTCATTTCAATCATACTAGTCAAGGAATACGGGAGTCTTAGGGATGGGACCACAGCAGTTAGGTTGCTGTCATCCACCATGATGCACCATTCATTTTTTTCCAGGTGTAAGAAAAGGTCAAATTAGACTGCAACACCACCTAATTTGGTGGTTAGGCAGTGCTGATAACCACCCCGTGCTCTTTATGTCTTAGACAATCACTTTTTTGAGTTACAGTCTCACTCCATCGCATCCTGACTGGAGTGCAGTAACACGCTCACAGCCACCCCAGCGTCGACCTGCTGAGTGCAGGTGATCCTTCTGCCTCAGCCTTCCAAGTAGCCAGAACTACAGGCGTGCACCATCATGCCTGGCTAAGTTTTTGGTTTATTGTAGAGATGAGGTCTTGCCAAATTGCCCAGGCTGTTCTTGAACTCGTGGGCTCAGGCAATCCCCTCACCTCAGCCTCCCGAAGTATTGGGAATACAGGATTGAGCCACTACCCCGGCCAATAACTTTTAATCTTTGAGCCCCTATTTTAATTTACATTAGGCTTTGTTAATTATTTTAACTTAGAGGTCCATAGGGTCTCATTTAGTTATGCCAACTTGTATGTAACTGCCAAAGATTTAATTTAATATTTATGAAGTCAGAGTATCCATGCCCGTTATGGGACACTTTGGACCCATGAGTGCCATATCCATGGGAAAGGCAGGCAAAACAATAGTTCTCTTGGTTAGGGTAAAACTTCTATGTTTGACCTCTATTTTATATTCAATACCTGCCCTAAGATTGTAGGAGGTACCAAGTTTAATTTAGTGGCATCTTCAGATATAACCGTAATTCAAGCCCCAGTACCAATTAAGTCCATGAAAGTTTGCCAGCAAGTGCATTTTTGCAGACATTAAAGTTAATTCAAAACTTGTGTTGGCAGGGCATGGTGGCTCACACCTGTAATCCCAGCACTTTGGGAGGCAAAGGCGAGAGGATTGCCTGAGCCCAGATGTTTGAGACCAGCCTGGGCAACTTGGCAACTTGGCAAGACCTCATCTCTACAATAAATCAAAAAAATCAACCAGGCATGGTGGTGTGTGCCTATGGTTCCAGCTACTTAGAAAGCTGAAGCGGAAGGATCACCTGATCCCAGCAGGTCAAGGCTTTGGTGGCCGTGAACATGCCACTGCACTATAGCCTGGGTGACAGAGTAAGACTCTGGCTTAAAAAAAAAAAAACTCCTAAAAATTTGTGTTGTAGGATGCACAGCCAATCATGGCTCTATATTTTTTTTCTGTATAAATTATTTTAGTAAATTTTGGGTTTTCTGTTGGGTCAAATTGTGGACCTCTGTTTCAGTTCCTCTCTCATATCCAGGTTTCTTTCTATCTTTCTTTTATTCCCTCTTTTTTGGTCACTGAATATACTTTTTGTACTGGGGGGTACTCTTCCCTATCCTGTTCATATTTATGCACTTCTTCCTCCAGAGAACCTCAAATTAGTATCATCAGGGTTGGGGGCCTTCCCTGCGGCAGTGGTTGCTCTCATATGGTTTCAAGTCCCCCGGCTTTTGTCAAGTTTGCATTAACCCCTTTCCTGTGCCCAGGGCTCCAGGGGTTTTCCCTGTGACTCTGAGGATCAAGATCTTTGTTGCAACATGGACATAAACAGCATAATTAGTACTTAATTAGTACCAAGCTCTGACCTTGTCTTTTCTGCTACTAATTTTTTTTTCCCTTAGTTTATTTATGAATTTTTTCCCCCTCTCTTGTACAAATTTCCTCAGAGTATTTTGGATTTCTAACCGTGTAAAGTCGTGCCTTTCCGTTTTTTTTCTGATTATCCTTGAGGGGGCCCTCCTGGGAGGTTACCAGGAAAGGACTGGGAGCCTGATGGACTACCTCGTAGGTGGCTATCTACACCTCCAGGAAATGCCTGTTGGTGTCCCTGGGGTCGGAGTCTGACGTCCAGTTAGGTTGTTTTGTCTGTGGCTTAGTTGGGCCCATCCAGCCTTAGGATGGCAAGAGTAGCCTTCTGGCATGCTGGCAAGTGGCTGCGCTAGACACAGCCTGGGTGCGCAGGCCAGGGCTCTGTGCAGAGAAGGCAGTTGAGTCCCAAATGCCTTTTCCCCTTTCTTTCTTCATCCGTGTCTGGGCCATGGGCTGCCGTGGGTGTGCACCTTGGTGCCCTCGGGAGTCACAACACCTGGGCAGCGACAGCTAAGAGGATAGGCAGGGTCACTTTGCCTGAGCAACAGCACTCAAGGTGCCAGGCAGAATTCTCCCTGGGGTGGTGGTCTCCTTCCTTTCTGCAAACCTCCCAAAGGGCCATCTCTGTGCCCGTCCTGGGAGTGCAAGTTCACAAACAATGTCTGAATGGCCGCCCCAAGTGACCAGTGATGTCACTAGCCTAGATGCAGCACGCAGAGAAATCAGCCCGAGCCTTGATAGGTGAGACTCAGCAGCAGTTAGTCAGGGTGCTGTGTTCCCCCCACCCTCAGAGGTGGGTGCCGCAGAGGCCACCTGCCAAACACAGGCTGAACCAACAGCACCCCACACCAGGGTCTAGTCAGTTCACAGCAGTTTTCCTCTTGGGACGGCAGCATTTTAGGTGGGCAGAGAGAGTGAACACCCAGCAAAGACAACGCAGCACTACATGGGCTCAAGTGAAAGTCTGTGGGCGGTGGGTGGTTCCACCCCAGGCAGCCCACGTTGTATCAGCAAAGTTAGTTAGCCAAGAGCAGTTAATTAAATCTGATCAAATGTCCTCAGTCATGGTAGGGCCATCCTGTTCGTTATGTCCATTGTTTTGATTGCCTCCTTTTTCCCTGGTTGGTGGGTGGGTGGGGTCCTGCTTTAGGGTCAATGGGCTGGACCACAAAACACAGGTAAGATAGACAGCAGTTTATGAGTCACATATACTCACAGCCCAGAGGAAGAGGACACTGCATGTCCCGTAGAGCCACAGGGTGTTGTACTTAGGAATAGAGTGAATAACCATCGGCTGTGCGAGGCAAAGCATGGTAGTATCAGAAGGATGGGGTGTCTCCTGGTTCCCACGGGAGGATGTGATTGGCCTATTTGCACAATCCCAAAGGCTGGCAGGAAGCTGAAACCCACTACTCCAAGATAAGCAGGAATTGTGCCTAACCCTTGATAAGGAGCACTGTCAGCTAGGGGATCTTATTCTCTATCCTCGGAAGTAGAATTGGGAGGGGAATTTTCAGTCAGGCCCTCCTGATTTTAACAGATGTCAAGGCAGTGCATGACGTTAAGCCTTGATTTTAGGTCGTACACCACAGAGTGTGCTATCTTTATTGAGCTGTGTGTCTCTTTTTCTTTTCCTAGCTGAGGAGTGTGATACAGTTGCTTTGAACTGCCCATCAAATTCTGATATGCAACATCAGGTAAGAATAATTTCCACTATATTTTTTCCCTTAGGTACATGATAATCCACCTAGAGTTATTTTAAGGAAGTATCTTATAGAGCTCTAAAAATAAATAATGAAGAACCAGATTTCTAAATAATAAAATAAGTTTGGAAATGATCTTTAAGCATCCCAGTAAGGCAGCATATCTAGAACATTTAGATATACTTTTATGAACTGTGGTAGTTTTAGTCTACTCTTCAATATAAATATCTAGATGCTAAGATCAGAAAATGCTAGTGAGTTAGAAAGGAGAATTGCTTTCTTTCACATGCTGTTGGTATACTGTGAATGGGTACATTTTTAAAAGACACAGCAAAAGTAGATACTGTAATATAACATTTTTAATAGTGATTTATAAACTTGTATTTCTTTCAGATATCAGACATCAAACTTTAACATATTATATCTACTATCTTTTTCCAGAAAGCAAACATGTTTATTGTGTTCTGATTATAAAAGAACGTTATTTTAAAGTTCAGACTGTACCAAAGAGTAGAAAAAAATATTTGAGAATTGCATGTCATTCCTCTGTTCACCTTGTGATGTACAGCCTTCCAGAAGCTTCCTTGGGTCACTCTGTGCTTTAGTTACTTCTTGTCCTGTTCAGTCCACCTCTGTCACTCACTCAGAACTCATTAGCAAAGTTGCACAATGTCTCACATCTGCTAAATATAAAGAATATTCGATGTCTCAAAAAGCGTGTCTTGCCTCAAGATAGGATGGTTTGGTTCTGCTTCCTTCCATAACACCAAGTTAATTTTTTTTTTGAGCTGGAGTCTCATTCTTGTCACCCAGGCTGGAGTGCAGTGGCACACTCATGGCCACCCCAGCATCGACCTGCTGGGCTCAGGTGATCCTTTTGCCTCAGCCTTCCAAGTAAACGGAACTACAGGCGTACGCTACCACACCCAGCTAATTTTTTTGATTTATGTAAAGATGAGGTCTCCCTGAGTTGCCCAGGCTGTGGACTCAGGCAATCCCCTCACCTCAGCCTCCCAAAGTGCCGGGAGTACAGGCTTAAGCCACTGCGCCCGGCCAATACCAAGTTAATTTTTAACAAACTTTTTTTTTTAGTCTTGCTTTAAAAATATTGGTCTATAATAATACTTAATAGGAATATTTTGGGGTAGCCAAATTACCTCTGTAATAAAGAAGTTACACAAATAGTTGATAATTTTAATTATAACACACAACTCTCTTGAAAATTATCAGCAGTGCCTCTTTTAACTTTATTTTGAGAGATCTTCAACTATTGACTGTGAATATCAGATTTTTACTCTTTAGTCTTCCTGATACTAAGTATTTTTCTTGGAATTACAATCTAATGATTCATTCTGCATGGACTAAATTTAAAGTATTTTAGTAAACTGAAAGTATACATCTTTCCTTTCTTGTAACCCTAATTCTTTAACAAAGTTTTGCTCCTCAATTTTTTTGTAGCATGTAGACCCCCTTGAAGATTAAAAAATGCTGCATTGTTTGTTTCATTGACTTTTAGGGATTTTCCAAAATCACTTAAGATTAGGTACAGAATATACGTTAGCACACTGTTCAGTATTTTTCTTAATTTTAGTGTTATAATTCTGGCTGTATCAAACAAAGACTATACTAAAAGATGAAAATATATTTATGAACTACAAATGGGAGAAAGGCCTATTTGAGATTTTTGAAGTTCTATTTTAAAACAGAATGTCTTCTATTTCTATGAAAAGTAGGACTGTGAGCTAGCTGCTTCAGTTGGTTATTTCTTTGTGTAATCTATAGGATTTGTTTTAACTGCTTAAATACTCAGAAAGATTCTTTGAAACCAACTTGGCAGTTAGAACAAAGAAAACTCACCAGGGAAGAAACGTTTAAAAGAAAAAACAACCCACACTCAATTTTCTATAGTTCAGACTTTAAAAGCAGGCAAAAAAAAAAAACCAAAAAAAAAACCCCAGGATTTTTTAAAGAAAAAATTGTATATTTATTCTTACATGTTTAAACTTCAGTCACCTTCAAAAGACTCTCCATTTGGTTTGATGCAGTACACCTACCAAGATACTTTTCCCACTACTCAAAACAATTTTGGAACTCATCAATTTGCATACCTATTAGTGCTTCTGCTGTTTTTTGTTTCACCTCTTCCACATCAGCTAACATTTCCCTTTGAGGACTTTTTCATCCAGGGAAACAAAAAAAAGTTGCTCAGGTGAGATTGGGTGAATAGGGAGCATGGGACATGAGGGTCAAAAACTGCTGAACACTCAATGCGGTGTAGGCAGGCATGCTTTTAAATCACCCATCATGAAATGAGCAACGCATTGAAAGATTCTTCAAAAAAAAAATTTCACTGAAACTGAATGCAACTTCTCACAACAGAGCTAGCTAGTCCACTGATGCTGGTGGGTTCCCAGAACACTTACCTAACAGGAGAAGCCTGTACACACAAGAGCCCTCCAAAAAATCATTCTAAGTTTTTATGGGTTCCCCTTCATATGTTCTTTAGAATATGAACCTTCCTTTTTTAGTGATTTTTATTATTTATTTTTAATTATTTTTTTGAGTTGGGGGTCTCACTCTGTTGCCCAGGCTGGAGTACAGTGGCACGATCCCGGCTCACCCCCGCCTGGACCTCCTGGGCTCAGGTAATCTTTATACCTCAGCCTCCTGAGAAGGTTGGACTACAGGTATGCGTCACCATACCTGGCTAATTTTTTATTTTTGGTTGAAACGAGGTCTCCCTATGTTGCCCAGGGTGGTCTCTAACTCCTGAGCTCATGTAATCCTCCTGCCTTAGTCTCCCAAAGTGCTGGGATTACAGCCATGAGCTATCATGCCCAGAAATTTTCATAATGTAGTAACTAAAATCCACTTCTACTAAGGCTTAATTTCCGCCTCCTTTGTTTTTGAATGATGGAGAGGAAAAACATTGTAGTATCCAAGTGTCAAAAATTAACCTGTGCTCTCTCAGACAGAACCCTTTACTTTTAATCATTTATAATTAATACCTATCTACTAGAACGATCCTACTCCAACAGTCTATTACAACTGGTGTTTATTGAGCATATAATCTGAGACCAATCTGAACTGGATATTCTTTGGCATAAAAAAGGCAGAAGGAAGCTGGGCTCGGTGGCTCAGCCTGTAATCCTGCGCCTTTGAGAGGCCGAGGTGAGTGGATTGCCTGAGTCTGTGGGTTCGAGACCCACCTGGGCAACTTGGTGAGACCTCATCTCTACAATAAATCAAAATATCAGCTGGGCATGGTAGTGCATGCCTGTAATTCCGGCTACTCGGAAGGTTGAGGTGGAAGGATTGCCAGAACCCAGCAGGTCGAGGCTGCGGTGGCCGGGAGCGGCCAGTGCACTCCAGTCTGGGCGACCGAGTGAGACTCCAACTCAAAAAAAAAAAAAAAAGGCAGAAGGGGGAGGAGGGAAAAAAAACTCCATGCAGTTTACAGATTTGGAGAGCCAGTACGCACACAATTAGATCTGGGTTGTAGGGTATGATGTTTAGTCAATTTCCATGACACTTTATGTTACAGAAAATATTTCCTAGAGCCTTTCCTAAACAACAAAGTTTATTTCACCACACATACAAGCATATGGCAAACGGTGGTTTGTAAAGCTAAAATTTGTTCTAGTTTGTAGCCAAGAATCCATGCCTAGAGGACTCTGAGGTAATAAAAGAAAAATAGGAAAATCAGGCAAATATTAGAATGCTAAGTTGGTGTTAGAGGTTATGGAAAGAGTGGCATTTTCCTTTGTGTTGTTTCTTTGGTTTTACACCAGTTTGTGTAAGTTTTAGAAAGTACACTAAATTATTGGCTCATTTTTATTGTGGTGAAAGTATCACACTAATATAAAATGTTAATAATAAGAGAAACTTGGTGTAGGGTATATGGGAATTCTTTATACTATCTTCTCAAATTTCCTATAAATTTAAAATTATTCTAATATAAAAAAGTCTGCTTTAAAAAGTACAGTAAATAGGCCGGACTCGGTGGCTCAGCCTGTAATCCCAGCACTTTGGGAGGCCAAGGTGAGTAGACTGCCTGAGACCACAGGTTCAAGACCAGCCCAGGCAACTTGGCGTGACCTTGTCTCTACAATAAATCAAAAATTAGCCGGATGTGGTAGTGCGCGCCTGTAGTTCCAGCTACTTGGAAGGCTGAGGCGGAAGGATCGCCAGAGCCCAGCAGGTTGATGCTGGGGTGGCCGTGAGTGTGCCACTGCACTCCAGCCTGGGCAACAGGGTGAGACTCCCACGCAAAAAAAAAAGCTCACTAAATAAAATTTAGATTCTAGATAAATGAAACACTTATCCCCAATTCTACTACTCTAATGCAACTATTTTTTCACTTTGATGTATTCTTTAATGCATTTTATATGCATAAGTATAAAAATTGCAAATAACGTGATGTTATTTTATAACCTGCTGTTGTGATTTAATATCTAAGAAACATTTGTCCAGTTCACTCCATGGCTTTGCTATTCTGTCGCTCTATGGTCATGCTGCCATTTTGGCCATGGCAGCTTGATATGAACATCTCCGACACAGAAATAGAGTTAGGATGTGTGTCTGAGGGCCGGGGTGAGAGCTCTCCCAATAGATGGAACAGTATAGGCAGAGGCTCTGAAGAAAGAGTCTATGTGAACAGTGAACTTGGCCTGGAACTGAAGCAGTGGATTGGGAGATCTTAGATGATGAAGCTGGAAGGTAAAAGTTGGAGCAAGGGCCCCAGAGCCTTGATGGTCAGAGATGGGTAGAGAAAAGCTATTGGGAGTTTTAAGTGATGGTCTCATAACCGTATCTAGGACCCCAATAGTACTGGAAAGAAGATAAGACTAAGTTTTAAGCCTATTGGGAGAGGTTATTATTAACAGTATCAGTAGAGAATTCAGGAAGAGGATCAGATCTGTGTGTTAGGATTGAGTTTTGTTTGTTGGTTGGTTAAGAAAGAGGAGATAGGCTGGCCACAGTGGCTCGCACCT